GAGTAAAGTGCCGAGGGTGAGTTGTATCTTATGTGTGAGTGGTGAGTGGGGTCTCCAAGGTGAGTAGGGCCTTAAAGGTGAATGGTGAGTGAAGAGTGGCATCTAAAGGGTACGTATTTCTAGATTTGAAGCTTTCGTGACTGCAAGGATTCATATTCTTAGGTTTTTTCCGTAAAGTCACGTAGGTAAAAAAATAAAAATTAATAAAAGTAAAATAAAAATAAAATAAAAATCACGACGTTTCGGAGGCAACACAAGCTTCCATCTTCAGGTGGAACCATCACAGCATGATAGCTGTATCAAGTGATACAGCTATCATGCTGTGACGGTTCCAACACAAGCTTCCGTCTTCAGGTAGAACCGTCACAGCATGATAGCTGTATCACTTGAAGCTTGTGTTGCCTCCGAAACGTCGTGATTTTTATTTATTTTACTTTTATTAATTTTTATTTTTTACCTACGTGACTTTACCGAAAAAACCTAAGAATATAAAGGGTACGTTGTGAGTGGGGTCTCACGGGTGAGTGGTGAGTGCAGAGTGGCCTCACACAGGTGAGTGCTGACCTGCACACTTTCACGGTCGCTATGAGTTCACTGCTCCAGGCACCGCTTCGACAGCCAGGTTCTGCCAAGGTCTGGGCTTCTTGCTCAGGCGCTGACATTTTATTGGGTGACCTTTATTGTTGTTGCTGTTTCTGGCATCCTTGTTTATGAGGATGAGCTGGGTGGGCGCCAGCGAGGCGCTTTTGTAGGAAATGAATGAATTATAAACACGCACGTAAAACAAGAGAGTGGAGGAAAACTAAATTATAAATATGAGAGTCACAATCGCTCGCAGATGAATTTTTTGGACCACGGGGTTGTAGAGAGAAAAAAAAAAGGCGTAACCAAAATGACTTTTTATAAATAAATGAAATTGCTAAATGTAATAACATAACGTCTTTGGTGACACTCCACATTTAGCCGAACATAGTTTCCAACTGTAATTGACTAAATCATCTCAACATCAACGATAACCTAACCTGGTAAATTTAAAACACGGGGGGGGGGGGGTTATTTTTACCCTCCCCGCCAACCTTTTCCCTTCCTTTCACCTCTCGTCTAAAATAAAGAAATAAAACAAAATAAATAAATATAGAATTAGCCACGGAGAGGAACTCTCACATCAGTGCCGGCGACACGACACCACCACCACCCCCCCCTTCTCCTCCCTTTATTTCGAGGCCAAGCTCACGCCTACGCGTTCCGCGTGTCCATTTCCAAGTAAAGGAGTCAAGAGGTAGCTCCGGAGCCGTGAGGCGTGCCGGTGGAAGGCCCTCCCCGCGGCCCCTATCAGCCGGGCTTTCTCTCATTTTGATTGGCACAGCTGTGGAAGGGGATATGGCTTTTGTCCAAGCTCAAGCAGCATAAAGGTATGACGGGTTCTGGCACCGGACAAGAATGCATAAATTCTCACATCAAAATGCCGTGTTCTTTGTAAGATTTTTGATGGCGGTGAATTTTTTTCCCCTTAAAATTTTGCACGAAAACAGGTGTTTCAGCGGGTTCAGGTATAAGGAGGCTTGACAGAGGTTGGCAGAGCCAAAAGGAAAAAAAAAACACCACTTTTAAATCCCCCTACTGCTTGCAACGTCTCAGCCTCCGCCGCTGCTCGAGTAAAGTTTGAGTGGCAACCCAAGGGACTCTTGCTGCATTCCCCCCGTCCTCCACGAGCCACAATTACCGAGGGCCTCTCGCTCCGTGCAGAGTCTGGCAGAGAGCTGGAGAGCGCGGCTCCCGTCCCCGAGGTGGGGCTTGACCGAGGCCTGACCGGCATGGAGCTCGGCGGAGGAAGCAGGCGTGAGCTGAGAAAACATCCCGCGGCAACTGGGGAATCCTTGACCCACACCTGCACCACCGCGCCGCGCCGCCGGACCCCAACCCCTAATCCCAACGGGAGCAGAGTGCGGGGATGAGGAAAAGGAGCAGGGAGATGAGGAGAGCGGGACCAGGGAGAATGGGAGCAGAGACCTGGGAGGGCGGCGCTGATGGGATGGTGTGGGGGGAGGGAGGCCAACAGCCCATGCACATCTGAGCGGAGGCGTGTTTTGTTAGAACTCAATAATCGCCGTCGAAAAACAGGGTCAGAAACAGCATCTCGCAAATAACCCACCCAACCCACACCCTCCCCCCCCACCGGTCGTACCAGCACCGCCCCAGTTGTGCCCATCACAGATTCCGCCGAGGATCCAACTGCGGTTCCTGCTTGGAAGGCGGTGGACGCCGGCGGTGACGCGCCGCGCGGCCACGGCGGTTGTTATTTTGGGACAGGTCACGGCACGCGGCGGATCCCCACGCGCCTCTCGGCAAAACGTGGACGCAGTTTGCCGGGTGGCTACGTGAAGCAGCACTTGCGCGAGGTCGGGGTCGGGCGAGCGGGCTGGCGGGCATGCATGCGGGCGTGCGTGCGTGCGTACGTGCGTGCGTGCTCACGGCCGTGGCGTTGGTGGGACAAAGCGCTGGGGACAGGGGTCGCAGTGGGGGCTCGTTGTGCTTGTGCAGCCACTGGCTCACGAGAGCAATCGCGCGGAAAGGCACCAGCAGGGTAGCGCTGGCACCGCACCCAGCCCAAATCACACCCCGCGTTTGAGAAAGAACGCACTTACCTGTCTGTGAGCCCGTGTGCAGGAAAATAACCGGGTAATTTCATGCTGCTTGTACGTGTAATTATAAAGATAAAATCGCGTACCTTTCTTATTTACAACACTGCATGCGTGCGTGGCGGAGTCTGTGAACTGGTACAGTACAACATATGTATACACGGACAATCCCAAGTTGTCGTTCAAAAATGTGCAGAGTGCTAATTACCAAGAGGGTTTAACTTTACTCGTAAACAAAGCCAACAGTACAGCTGGCGAGGATCGGATTCCCCGCAGAGGAAGGACAGCAAACAGAAAACAAGCCGGAGCTCTGTCAGGGACGAAGGCGATCTCGCTATGAACGGCAGACGTGCGAGACACGGCCCTGCCTTTCAAGACACAGAGCCTGCTTTTCTCAAGCCATTAACTAGAAGTGCCGTTGTTTTGGATCATAGCCGATAACGTCATTAAGTTATTATACGTTCATAATTTTCATTTTCATTTATCTTTCATTTACTAGCATTGCCAAGTTTGGCTGAATTACAGAGAAGCAGTTTTCTCCTTTTTTTTACAATGCTATTCCCCACTCATGTTATTATTGTAACAGTATTGTGTTAACACAATTCTTGCTTTTAATTAAAAAGGTTTTTGTATTTACTCGCTGGTACAGTCAGCTCAATCGTTCGGCTCCGAGGTCTTCTGCAGAGACATCGGGCACAATGAGGCATGCAAATGGGATTCACCGACACTGGGGCTCATCGGTGAGCCATGCCAGGCTACAGACTGCCATCGCTAAGTACGGGTTACCGAAGGTGGGATGTCCGGGTCTGATATGACTTACCAATGATGATAGCCTTGCCTACACATGGACTATGTGTCCAAGCAACCGCTAAAAGTAGCGACAACGCAACAGAATTACGGGACGTCAATGTTGTTTCATAAACATTAAGAAATCTCTACAAATTCTTCTTCGCCTTCTCCTTCTTTTCCCCCTCCTTATAAAGGGCCCACGATATATATTTTTATAGATCAACTTATAATTACATTTCTCAAATGTAATTAAACGTAAGAAACAATGACTGGCTCCAACAACGGTGGAATAATTTTTGTCTTACTCAGCGACATCTTAAACGGCTGTGTACTTTTAGCCAACTCTTGAAAACACTCGGGGAGCACGTGGTGGTGGTGGGGGGTGGTGGGGGCGGTGGGGGTGGTGGGGGGAGTGCATCTGTTACAATCTGTAGCACAACAAACTATTAATCCGGCTGGGTGATGTGAAAATAACAACAATTACCACATGGCTCGAACCGAGAGCCTCTTTAACGGCGCTACGGTTCACCGCAAACCCAATCGGACGGGACATCCGCGCGCGTTTGTGAACGCGCGTCTCCTCCGGCTGTGCGTGTCATGCACGTGAGCTTCACTACATCTCTCCTGTTGTCACAATTTTATTATTTTTACCCGTGTTACCACCGTCTCTGACGGCCACATTCCCAACTGTGCAACCATCCGTGCTCATAACACCCGCTCTATCACTTGTGCCGCTTGCATGTGTATTACCTGTGCGTGTGTCGCCTGTCACCCACATGTCACCTGTGTGTGTGTGTGTGCCATCTGTGTAACCTGTGTGCGTGACTGTCTATCGCCCATGTAACCAACAAAAAATACTTCCTGGTTTGGAGCGGCAAAGATTTATGGATGGCAGGGTCTTAGAAATCCTGGAAGGAGCAATCTTGAGACATGGTAATGTTAGGACTGATGGCCTCCAGGGATCAATATTTGCATGTCTGTGTGTGTTGACCGATTCATAGCGGTGCCAAGACACAGACCGAGGTGTGGATACCAAGAGTGGGGTTAGCCATTGGCTGCTGTCAACTAAATGTCACGTGTGTCTGTAACCATGTCACCTGTGTTCAAAACTGTATCGCTTGTGTACATGCCACCAGTATCTGAATCACCTTATCCATGTATGCGTCATCTGTGTGTTTCTGACCTCCTGTACGTGTGTATCACCTGTGGCTATTTCACATGTGAAATATCACTATATTTCATGTGTCTGTATAGACGATGTCTGTATCAGCTGTGTGTGTCCCGGCCACCCACCCGCTCTTGTGCCACGCCGGCCTTTGTAGGTGCTCGCTAACACCACTTGCTCCAATAGTCTGTTCAGGCTATATAGGGGCGATCTTTGCTTTTGCGTCACCTGTGTCTGCGTCACTTGTGTCTATATGACACCCATGTCTGTGTGACCTGTGTCATTGTGACCTGTGTCTCGATCACCTTTATCTCGATGACCTGTGTGACCTGTATCACCTGTATCCCCGGTGTAGACGTCACCCGTGTCCGTGACCTCTGTCTTTGTGTCACCTGTGCCACCAGTACCTGTATCTGCTCCTGCCGGCGCCGCTGCTCTGCCACCTTGCGCGTGAGCGTCTCCCTGCGCGCCTTCAACTGCCGGATGTCATCACTCTCCTCATCGCTCCCCTCGCTCGCCAGCAGCTCCTCCTCCACCAGCACGTCATCCTCTCCCTGTCAAGACACACGCCGTCAACGCGTCATCTCCACCGTGGGTGATGCACACATCATCACAGTCACTCTCGCTGCACACAATGACGGCGTGTCACTCTCGCCCGGGTGACGCACGTCGTCACTGTGTCACCCTCGCCCACGTGACACAAATCATCCCCTTTGATGCATACGTGTTCTTTTGTTTTCTGTAATGTTTACGTTGTCCGGCTGCTACTTACTCCAGGAGTTTCGTGCTCAGACGAAGGCTGCACCTTCGACAACACGCTGCCACCCTCCCCTCCCTTAGCCCCTCGCACTCTCGCCCCCTCACGCCCCCCCCACCCCCAGCACGCCCGGTGAAGTGGCTTCGTATTTATTTACGTTGTATTTTACACGGTGTAATTCACTCATTGTGCGAACTGCCTCATTACCCCTTGTGCACCGTAAAGCTTTTATTTAAAAAGCTTTAAACATTTCATTGAACCCACGGTTAATCATGGCACAAGTGGAATGCTGCCAATTGTGGATTAGGGCACTAAAACAAACAACAAAAAAATGGCCCCCTGTTTTTTCCCCCAGTATTAAAACAAATTGGTATTGCTCGCTTAACGCAAGCTCGAAGATTTAGGGCCAGCGGGCTACGGTAGCGCCTTTTGGACCTGGGCGCTGTGGACGCGCCACGGTGCCGAGTCGGCCTACACCCGACGCGGTGGGGGCGGCGGTGCCGGAACGCGCGCGATCGCGGGAGAGACTCGTGACCGGCCAAACCGCGAGCGCCGACGGACGTCAGGAGCGAGCTCTGGCACTGCGACCGCGTCGCCGCGATCACAATCGTGGGTGCTGGTCGCCCCCCTCGGTTGTGCCGAGCCAGTGGTGGAAATTCCACGTTCCTATGGTGAGCACCAGCATTCAAAAGAAGACCTAGATCAGTGGTTCTTAACGTGGGGTGCACGCTGCACCCCCTGGAGGTGCGAGACATGGCCAGATTCTTTCAGAAGGTAAAACCATCGAAACACAAATTAAGCACGGGCATGTAAGTTACAACACCTTGTTTCATCAAACCCCTACTTATTTATTAACATCGTACATTTTTGAAACGATTCAGAACCAAAGGGGTGCAAGGCTGCAGTAAAGGTTAAGAGCCACTGACCTCGTTAGATGGCGACTTCTCCCCCACTAAGCGGTGCTCATTTTACTGGCCCCCGAGGAGTGATTGTTGCCTTAACAGTGATGACGAAGACGATGACGATGACGATCATCATGATATTGATTAGGTTGATGATGATGAGAGTGGCGATGATTATGATCGTGGTTATGACGACAACGACGATAATAATATTGGGTTGAGTTGATCCTGGCTGAAACTTGATCTCGCGGCTGCCCTGCCACTCACTCGGCCAGCTGAGCTACATTTCGGCTCGTACTTATTTTGCGCCAACGTAAAATCAGTTGCAACGCACTATCCTTACGAGCAGGGACACAACAAAGACTTAAGTATGCAGATATTAAAATGGCACGCGGATATAACACTGGCGCACAATGGCCTACGTGTGTCTCACGTCCCCGAGGAGCGTGAGATGACGAGTTTGGCAATGCAGTGCACAAACCTGGACCTCGAGCGCATAGACACCCCCCCCCACTCCAAGCGTGACCTCTTACCACTGTTATTACACGTATGAATATAATTTCAAAATACATTAACGGATGATTTTCAAGACCTGTGTTTTTTTTTTCTTTCTCTTTTTTCAGAACCAAGAATTATTATTTCTTAAAACTATTAACCAGCCAAGGATAATCAAACAAAAAAACCCCAACGTACAGAAGAAGAGAGAGAACGAAGAGAATGAAAACCGCGAGCTCATTTCCTACGTAGCCACGCAAACAGGATCCCCACTTAACATTGTTACATTCTGATTTAATGGTTTCCATTTTCCATCTGCAGAGAAGCAGACGTTAGCCAGTCTGTGCCCTGGGTGGTCTCACAGAGAGCCTTCCAAATTTGGCGAGCCCATTCCGTCTGTGCTCGCTTGGTGTTTGCGAGACGAGAGGCGATATTACACCCGAGCGTCTGGTTTGGCTGCATTGCGTGTGCCAGCTCATGTTTATGGTATATACAAAGACAAAGATCCCCCGCATAGCCTTCACAGACTGTAGGGGCAAGTGCTGTTACGGAGCACCTATAAAGGCCGGCACGGCACACGAGGGGGTGGGTGGCCAAAACCACGCCCGGCCGCCTTTGTCTCCACAGTGGCGATGTTTACACATCGTACCAGGTACTCATTTGAGGCTGAGTCGACCTAGGGGAGGCCCAGGACCCGTTCACATAATCGTCACTGGTGTTGGCCGTGAGCGGGAATCTAACTCGGGTCGCCGGGTTTGTAGCGCAGCGTAGCGCTAACCGCTACACTACCACTCCCCGTAATATATACACGCGCGTGCACACGCACGGCAATTTCTTGTGGTCGTTTTAAGCCTTTTATTTTTTATTTACACGGGGGAGACTGGCGCTGCGTGGTGCCGAAACGTTGCGCTGTGCGGGGCACGGTGCCAACGCGCCGTGTCACATTCGGTCCTCCGCACGCTAAATGCACGCTTGCTGGGCCATAAAGGTATGCTAAAGTGGTAATTATATTACAAGCGCATGCCAACTTTAAAGATTTAGTGATTGTGATGGCTGTTGGTTTTTTTCTTACTCGTTTCATTTGCTTCTTCACTGCCAATGGTCTCCGCGTACATGTACATGCGCGTACGTGTACATGCGCGTTACGGATCTCTACGTATAAGAATGTACATCCGTCACTTAACTTGAAAACTAAACACCTGGGACTGCCCCGCGAGCTTCTGCCAAGAAGCCTTCAGCGCTCTTTACCGCCAGCGAGCTGGGTTTGGCACAGGCGCTGTGGTGACATAACTACAACTAAGTGGTGAATGACAGCCGCTGCTGTGTATGTACACATCGATGCATCATTTCTAAAACAAAAAACTACTTTTTTTCGATGGAAAAGTAAAGAATGAAATATTCTGAGTTCCGGACAGCAGCCCATCCCCCCAGCCCACCCCCGCTGCTCCCCCCCCCCTCGTCCCCCCAAAGAGACTCGAGAAAATCGCTTGTGCCGGAGCAGCAATCGATGTCGCATTCCCAGCTGCTGAAGCAGCAGCAGCACTCATTCATTAAAAGCATCGTAGAGTCGGCGGAGCTAAGGACTGCATTAGCGACGCAGGCACGCAGCGCTGGCCCGCACGTCAACACTCATACACTCCTTCACCTACATCCCCCCCCCACCCCCCAGCACACGACGGAGCAGCGTCCAGAGGAAGGCGTGAGCTCCCGAGGGGCGGCACTGCGGGCACGCGCGCCAACAAGCGGGCACACGTGTGCCAACACGCACGCGCTCGCGCGCGGCGCCATGCAAACGTGCAACCTGAAACTCAGAGCAGTGTCGCGATTGCTTCGTCGGTACATCGCCTATCAGATGAATTATCCGATCATGGTGGTCCTCTCGCACTGCTTCTCTTAGTAGGAGTCCCCAAGGATCAACAAGGTGTCAGCTGGTGCTCACCAACCACGAATGTTCCTGAACAAGCAGTGACAACTCCACATTCCTATGGTGTAGAAAAAGCCCTGTGAGAAAGCCACCCACCGGTTGGTACACAAGAGATGATGATAATCATGACAATGATGATGAGGTTGATTTTACACAAAGGACTTTTCACCAATTACAAAGGTAAGCCAGCGTACCTGTGATATGACCAAAATCCTGAATAAGACAAATCACTGCAAACAATCTAAAACAGTAACCAAAAAAAAAGAAGCAAAGCTCCACAGCGACACGTACAGAGGAGATGGTGAGCCTTGGGCTCTGGTTAAATAAATAAAACTGAACTGAAACGGTCAAAGGATTCACAGGTATGAGTGCAGCAGCGAAGAGAAATCTACAGGCGTGTACGCCAATGGCTGTGCTGTTTATGTGTCGTCCGGTTGGGAAGGACACATGCTCACCCGCAACCCGGGCAAAAAGGGATTCATTCGTTAGAGGTTCACACGCAGTCCTTGAATTAGACCTCAACATTCACCTCCAGGACACCGTCATTCCTCATGTCCATCTCCCTTCTCCCGCCGTGGCGACTGTGGTTAGGTTGTTTCCTTTGGTCGACGCCGGCGCTTAACGTGATTGGCTCCTGGACCGACTAAAGAGGGGCAGCAGAGTCAAGGAACACAAGTGGCGTGCCCTCTCAAGTACAAGCCGAGGTCTAATCAAGCGCACATGCTGGGAAATAGTCCCCATGTGGGATCGCCTCCTACACACCGCAGTGCTACAAAGCAAGTGGTTGCGGGCCGTGGCACGGTGTGTGTGCACCGCGTCACTGCCGCCCCCAGGGTGTAGTGTTACAGAGAGGGGGCCCAGGCAGAGCCTCCCTGACAGAGCCCGTTCTCGCCACGCAGCCGCGACGGCCGCTCACAGCGCAAAGTGGGGTTCAAGCGGGAGCCACGGGTGCTGGAACCCTGCCGGCAGTAGGGGGGGGGGATAAGCTACTTGCCCCATGTGCTGGGCCATCTTTGGTTACCGGTGATGCTGCTTTGTCTGAAGACGAATGGTGACTCGAGCGAGACGCTTTAACCTCGCCCACAGCGTTCGCCATCAATGGCCACTCCAGGCTCGAGGCCACAGCAGTGCTCCGCAAGCCACCCGGCCACCTCATGTTTGCGTTGTGTTTTTTTGTTCAAGTTCTACATTGCATGAGTGCGGCGAGTTCTGGCAGGGCGGTAATTGCTCTTGCGCTATCTCTCTCTCTTCCCATGGCAAGTTCACTTCACCGCATCTGTGAAAACAGATCGCTGCGAACCGCGCTGGCGATTTGGATGGCATCCAGTCCATGACATCACTTGCCCTCACTTCGACTCGGAAAACCCACGCATCTACAGCTGGACAGTTGTGAGTGAGCATCATCCCGGAGCGCCCACCTCTCGGTGCTTCTCGGTTTTTCCACGAGTAAAAATCACTCGGCGACAGACAGGGCGAAGTAAAGCCTCGACAGTCGGTTTCAACTTCTGTTCGTGTCATCGTACAAAATACCTCCCTGATATTTTAGCGGACGTTGCTAAAATTCCATCTCTGAGAGGGCTTCGCAGTTTTTGTCGTTTCACTGACACGCCGAGCAGGTTTAAGAAGCGCACGCGCTCCAAACCGCCGCACTCGATATACTTCAGCACACATTAGACACGCAATCGTTATGAACAAATAATTTGTGGGAGGATGACATTCGATTAACGATTTCAAGTATAAAGTTTGCGTTAAAAATAACTGAACACACCTGAAATTTACGAGGAGACCGGCCTCAATTCCCAACACGTTTCAGGGCATTCATGGCAAGAGAAAGGGGGGGGGGCAGCTAAACCGGAGGGGGTCACGCGACATGGCGAGAACGCAAAGAAGAGCGGTGAGAGCGGCACAGAGAGAATGCGGCCACGCAGGTGTCAAGGGGGGCGGGCGCGGCTCAACGCGATCGTAGCAGGGTCACTTGCAGAATGCCGCGTGTGCTGCGCTCATCCACGCACAACAACGACGACGACGACAACGACAGCAGCCGCCCTTTGCAACTACACGGTACCGAGGCGACCTCTAAGTCTTCTGCCAGGAGGGCCGCACTGAAGCCACGCGCGGTGGTAATGTCCCGCGCCATTTGGTCATGGGACACAGCGAGTCGATATGGGGTTTGTAGCTGGAATAACTTTTTATGATTCTCTCCCCCACCCCCTCACCCGTACACTAAGTCTCTGCTCACGTGCGGAACAGCCAGGCATGTGTACACACATAGCCACATGCTTTCATACTTACACGCTGGAACACACGTACGAATCACTCCCACAATCTCACTTGCACACAGCGATAGGTCTCTATTCCCCTATTAATTGGAATGGACTGTTTTTACAAGTGTTGTTAGTGGGCACCCATTGAGGTATGTTTATCACGCAACAAGAGGCAGTGGTGTGTCCAAGTCCACCGGAGGCTGATTCGGTCACCCCACTTCTCTGAACGAGAACTCACGCAACTACATCAGGTACTCATTGAAGGCTTGGTCACCCAGGCCAGATACAACTGTCATGAGCGATGTGCATGACTAAGCATAATATGCATACACGCGATTACTCGCACTGGCCTACTAACACACGCACAACTATTAAAGTCGGAGTCAATCTAGGAGAGGCCTTAGACAGGACCAGATACAACTGGTCACTGACATGCATGGTCAGGAATCCAACACTGGTCACAGTGTTAAATGCTTTCAAACAACACGCAAAAATGTGTAAAATGCACACAGCCTGTGCGCGTGGGTAAAACCCACCAGCATTTTCTGAAGAAGTGCATTGTGGTCCTCTTGTCCGAGGTCACCATCGAAATTAATTGGGAAAATATGAGCAGTGGACAAAAGCGGTCCAGAGTTGTCTGTTACCGCATCACTGCCGCCTCTCAGTCGGTCACATTTGCTCAAATTTATTTTGACGGTGACAAGAGATCCACAATGCACGTCTTCAGGAAATGTTGATGGTTTTTGCATAATGCAGAGGCCGTGTGCTTTTGACGCATTTCAGCGTGTGTTTGTTTGAAACGTACGGTTTTCCGGCCTGAACTATTATTCTGTTAAGATGGGTTTTTTTCTCATGAATTTCAATTTGATTATTCGGGTTTGGAGCGCAATGTGCGAACCGCTGCAATTCCGCTCCACACATACGTAAAAGTATCCCCTGAAAAGCCTTAACAGACTATTGGGGCAAGTGCTGTTAGCGAGCACCTATGAAGGCCGGCACGGCACACGAAGTGGTGGGTGGTCGGCACCATGCCCGGCCGTCTTTGTCTCCCGAGTGGCAGCAAGTACGCAACAGGTACTCAATTGAGGCCGAGTCGACACACACACATACAAAAACAAAGATCGCCGTGTAGCCTTAACAGATTGTTGGCGCAAGTGCTGTTAGAAAGCACCTATGAAGGCCAGCATGGCACACGAGGGAGTGGATGGCTCGCATCAAGCACGGCCGCCTTTGTCTCCCCAGTGACAATGTTTACACACATCGCACCATGTACTGATTTGAGGCTGAGTCGACCAAGGGGAAGGCCCAGGACCAATTCAGTTCATCGTCACTGGTGTTGGCCACGAGCGGGAATCGAACCCGTTTCGCTGGGTTTGTAGCGCAGCGTGTGAACCGCTGCACTACCACACATGTGCACACACATACACACAAACACACAAACACACACATCCCCACCCCCTCCTCCACCGCACCATGCCACTCCTGCCCCCCACACGCAACATCTGCCCGCATGTCAGCGAGCGGCCAGGAAGGAGGTGAGCGCGGCGAGCCCTGCTGCTCGCGGGGACGCGGCCCCTTGGCCATGCCACCTCGTGCGCCACGACCCCGACAACAAAGCCCTGCGCGCCGCGGGGATCTCGTAAACAGACGAATTAAAAACATTGTCACACCGGCAGCAACGTGGGCTTATTTACAACGAGCCCCTATTTTTAACCCCGCATCCTCCCTATGCGTTTGATTAAATAAACATAAACCAAGGCTAAACAGACTTTATGGGCAATTTTTATTTGATGTCAGATCGACCCCTTAATGTTTTCCGCCCACTGTGGTACGAACACGGGGAGGGGGTCCGATTGGGCACGAAGTGAGGTTGGGAACGGCACGCGGTGAGGACAGGCGCACCGTGGACAGAATGCCTTTCATGGCCATGTGAGAAATTAACCAAATGAAGCACAAAACCTTGCCGATCTCGTTAAGGAACATAAACCATCACGTGAACTCCGGCCATCCTGACAGCAGCGCCTTTTGGCGAGCCATCAAACAAAGATGGTCACCGCATCGCGGGCTTTCAGATGCGCTTCTGCGGCTGCCTGGAATGCTCTACCTTCCGATATAAGGAAGCCACTGGAGCTATGCACTTTTAAATCTAGATTGAAAACTAATTTGTTGAGAACTGCTTTTTGTGTTTAGTTTGTTATCCTTCCCCCGCACCTCCGATTAGCACGGTTGGCTACGTACCGTGCGAAAGACGTTCAATATACATACAGACAACCGACGACCATTTGAATTCAGTGACACTGAAAATGATTATCACGAACCTGAGGTCTTCTGCAAGGAGGCGCGAGGTGCTCTGCCCATCATAGTTTATACAGATTACCCTCACACAGCATTCTCCCAAAATGTTTTTTATGATTCTGTCCCTAATGGTTTTACTTCAACTCAAACCGATGCATGTTGTTGGAATTCTAGTGAACAGTGGACACTGATTGGAAGTAAGAGTTATTGCCCTCAAATGTTATCAGGTTGCAGAAGGCAGCATTTCGTTTGAGGGAGGGGGAAAATATTTAAGCCTGTACCAGCAAATATGCTTTTACATGTTAGTGCACTCACCTGTGTGCACATTTTATGTAGAGAATGCATGTACCCGCATATGGTCATAAGAAAGACAAAGATCTCCTGTAAAACCTTAACATACTGTTGAGGTGTGTGCTGTTAGCGAGCACTTATGAAAGCCGAAATGGCACACGAGGGGATGGGTGGCGAACACCACGCTCGGCCGCATTTGTCTGCTGGGTGATGATTCTCACAACACCGCACCAGGGTACTCATTTGAGGCCGAGTCGACCTAGGGGAGACCCAGGACTGGTTCAGATAATCGTCACTGGTGTTTTTCCGTGAACGGGAATCGAACCCGGGTCGTCTGGTTCGCAGCACAGCACACTAACTGCTACACTTCCGCTCCCCATAATTAGAACACACACACAGGTACAGACGCACTAGCATATGCACGTGCGGGGTAACACTTGACCAGGCCGCCCCGCTCTCCACGTCACGGCTTTCCCCTCACCTGGTACCTGGAGAAGTCCCCCCCGTGGACACGTGGCCCTGCTGATGGGGTGGGCTCGTCACGTCCTGGAGCCACCGACACGTACTTGCCGCCCTTGTAGGCAAGCAGAGGCTCTTCCAGGCCGCACAGGGCCTCGAGGAAGTACTGGAGCGCCGCCACGCGCTTGCAGTCAGCCGCGAGCACCTGCACGACACAGGGTGGGGGGTGGGGTGGGGGGTTAGAGGTGAAGCTTCGCGACACCGGGCGCTCTCTGCTCGGGATGTGGATGAGCTGCTGTCAAGGAGCATAAACCATCACGCAAACTCTGGTGATCCTTGCAGTAGCGGCATTTGGCTGGTCATCGGACAAAGACAGTCATCTCGTCGCGCGCTTTCAGATGCGCTTTCGCGGCCATCTGGGATGCTCTTCCTTCTGATATTTGGAAGCTACTAGAGCAATGCACTTTTGCATATATTTTGAAAACTCACTCCTTTCGAACGGCTTTTTGTGTCGAGTTTATTGCCCTTCCGCCGCACCTCCAATTAGCACGATTGGCTACGTACGGTGCGAAAGAAGTTCAACACATGTACGTACATCGACGACGCAGCTCAATTCAAGCCACGACCAACGTCAAGTAGAGGGACTGTGGTGCTCACTCTCGAAGCTGCGGACCGCTATGGATTATTTGACCTCCAAGCTGAACACTCTGTCACACCAACCGGAGGTTGTCCTGCACCGACATGTGATGTTGCAGCCACGAGACTCAATTATTCATTGTCTTGATAAATTTATCACTGTTAGATATTTATGTGGAGATGTCCAGAGGCATGTGTACATCTTTAGTCACAAGGGGGTTCAACAGCGCAATTCACTTCAACGTCCTCTTCTCCAACAGAGTTATAGCCCATCAGCATGGGAGATCTGGGATTGAATTTAGAGAGGCCCAGTCTATTTTTTTTATTTCTGATTTATTTTGGGCTAGGACACGACACACAAACACCTCTTTTCTTACCCAAGATGCCACAAGGTGTTTCACGTTGGCGTTGTCTCATAACAAGAAATCTGGCAGGACAACCAGGATTTAATAGATGTTTAAACAAAAATGGATAAACCATCATTAGTAATATTGTTGTATGAGAAACCAACACTATATATAACTAATTAACGACAATATATAAATCAGTGCTCGCTCCTCTGTGGTTTCTTTAAAGATGCGGATTCCCCACAGAGAACGACCGAAGCGGAGTTAAGGATGCCCCCGCCAGGGATACGACAAGCGGCACCGCATGGCTCAATTGGGGCCCTCTCAGAACCAGGCGGCAGCCTCAACGCTGAACGCGGTCCGATGCTTCACAGCCCAGGCAGTATGGAGTCCACTCGGGGGAGCCAGGCCATCCCACAGAAAGACCTTTTGATTATAACGATCCCACTCGTATCCGTCGTGGCATCTTGTGAGCAAGTGGTCTCCTAACAGGAAAGACAAGGCAAAGATTCCCCTGTAGAGCTCTAACATACATTTGGGGCAAGTGCTGTTCGTAAAAAGCTATGAAGGCCGGTAAGGCACACGAGGAGGTGGGCGGCCAACACCGTGCCCGGAAAATACATAGACACACACACGGGAAAACAGATGAGTGCAAAGACGTCAACCCTAACCCTACCCAGTGCAGCCAACTAGATATGACACGATTCACCACCCCCGGCACCTCCTCAGTGATTTGATTAATTATCATGGTGTGATTCAAGAGTTATTTTCTGTCTCACTTTTCCCATCTTGTTGGTTATTGTTTCTTTTTTATGTCTTGTTCGCACAACTTTGTTCACAGCACTCGCCTCATGCAATAAAAACATTGCACGACAGTAGCATAATTCCCAGATAACCAATTCTTACACGCACGATTCATCAGCGTAAAAATGATTATTTTAATTGAACTGATGCATCATTATACACCTCAAAAGAACAGTTTTTTTTAGCAGACCCAGGTATGTTTGCGCTCCGCAATCATCAGCTGTGTGGTCACATGACTCAAGGCGGCAGAGTGCAGGATGGTAACGGCGGCGTGGGCAGCAATCGAGGTGCGATGTGTGGGCAAGTGCTTGCTTGCCCTGCCGCCACTGACACTGAAGTCCACTCGTCGACATTCCGAGACGCAATCGTCTCCTCTAAAGCCAGCCCTACAGATGGGACACGTTTGTCACATTTCAAAGTAGGCCTCCTCAACCAAAACAACTCCAAACATCGTTTTCTTGAGAATACGGAACATTGGTTCCAAATCCTTCTCTGTGAGCAGCAAACGTGTCACTTGTTTTCATCACCCAAAATCAAATAGAAGAGGCCTGGACCCAGAAGCGAATGAGGAACAGTGTGGATAAGATTGATATGCTTCACTGCATTATTGGCCTGCTACCACTGGGCCTGCTATGGTTAGTCTGCTATGCATCTTCAATGACTTCATAGCTGACACCTACACGGCAAATTTGCAAGCACGCACAATGCAGAACTGTCCTTAAAAACGTGTCTTATGGCTGCGTGAGGCTTTCTTGCACAAATAAAGGTTGATGAAAAGCTTGTAAAATACATCTCTGGTTATATGCAAACTCTTAACTGAAGAATTTTAATTACTGAGTACTCTGAAAAACTGTCTAAAGTTTATGGGACAGTGGCACTATTTAGTTGGCCTCTCGTAGGCCAAGGCCTCCAATAGGCCGACGCCTCGCAGAGGTGGCGGTCGCGAAAGAGGCGGTGGCGGCGAAGAAAAGAGCCCATCAACTCCTCCCTCCCTGCGTTCCTTTCAACAGCCTGGGGGCTGAAACGAAGAAAAATCATGAAAAATTCCTCAAGGTCGGGAACATTGCTCGTGTCTTCACATACGTCTAGTTCCGAAAAAGCCATCCCAAATAATGAAGACCTTAAACCCAAAAAAAAAAATTACCGGTGTTATTCATTCATGTAAGTACGTGTTCACAAAGTAAGCCCCAGGAAGCCTCTTGGAATTATTACCTTTTTTTTGGCCCAAGTGACCAAATTGGGCACAGCCTTAACAAGCATGTGGTTTATATTTACGTGACATTTAAAATGGCATGTTTTGAACACAAAATATGTGGCGTAAAATATCCTCCCAAGAAATGGTTAGTGCCCTGGTAACAGTGCCCACATTTGGCCGTGCTTTGCACTTGCGAACGAGCAGAATGTGACAGCCGTTTATTGTCAGGGTCTGAGAGGGCCTATTAGGTTCCCCTGGCTCCATGTGCCTGTGAATGCCGTTAAACCAGTCGTCGGACATTCCCTGGACAAACAGCCAACCTCCAGGCGCCACCCCCGCCGTGTCCCTTATGCCCACACCCCGATGCCCCCCCCACCCAGCCCGCCGCCACCTCCCCCCCGCCGGTTCCCCCCAGAGAGGTCCGTGGCCGACCCCATTGGAAGACGGTGGTCACCGGGGACCCGACCCAGAACTCTCAAGGCCAAACGCCCCGTCAGCCATGCAAAGAGCGACTGTGACACACGCTCACGGCACGGGAGCGGTGCACTCTGGGAGCGGAGTGGGCGCGACGCGCAAGTGTTCACGCACGCCGCAAGCTCGCTCGGGGCAGGCCTGGGCCACCCTGGCCTCCTTTAGAATTGCTGCCCCATCGCACGGCTCTGCTGGGAACGGCCTGCGGGTCATGGTGGGGGGGGGGGGGGGGGGGTTTGGCGTTTTACGAGCGCGGGTGTTCAAACGCCATTGGCCGTGGCCGTTGGACAACAGACGGAACCCGACCGCGAGGGAGGGGTGGCGTGGGTGTCAGGGGGGGGGGGGCAGGGGGGTGCTGTGTTTTGTATTCGCAAGCTCCGGGGTCACGCAAACAATGCGAAGGCAGCAGTTCGCCCGGGCTGATGTTCCACAACGCCACGAGCCTCTGCTCAATGCTCCATTTGGTTTTTTTTTAAGACCCCATTGTTCTGGATGCTATAAAAACTGGGGGCGCATTAGCAGGAATTAAAAAAGCCATCTTTTGCCAAAATATGAATGAACAAATATTTTCCTTATAAGTTTTCTAACTGTAGTATCTGCTCCACAACCGGGAATGATAGCACAATCGGCAGGGTTTGCAGTTAAGCGGTCTTGCAGGGGGAGGGGGGGGTTAATCTGCCATTGAACGCACTAATTCATGGTATAAAAATACAAATATGTATAACAAACCAAAAGGAAATATTTGTGATAGATCCGAATTGTAAAAAACCTTCAAAATCAATGAGTTGTTCTTACATTCGTTTCATATAATAATATTGATTAATTTAATCAGGAATTAATCGAATTATTTCCTTTACAAAATACCATCCTTTCTGCCCCTAACACAATAAAAAAAAAATCGAGATACATTGCTTAAGATGGCCTTGTTAAAGACAAGTCAAGCAGACATGACCCTTGCACTGCTCTGCTTGAAATTGAAGCTGTTAGTTGGATGTGAACAACGGTCTATTTAAAAAGAAAATGCTACTTGTTTTCTCTCAAAACGCAAAAAACACACAGAGACGAAGGGAAACTCGCCGCCGCCCGTCACAAAAAGCCACGAAAAGCCACGAAAAGCAAGCGCTTTGCGTTTAAAAAGGGGGGGGGGGAAACCCCCCCTGACCCTTGGCACACCCCTCTCCCCCCTCCCCGCAGAGCTCATCGCAGGGAATACGCCGCTGCCCAACCCATGTGGAGAATGTCACACTGCTGTTTGTTTGAATGGAGTGAGTCAGTGTGTCCCGGGCGCCCCCCGAGAGGCATGCTGGGAAGTGCCGTGTACGTGCCGAGCAGCAGTGAGGCCCGGTGCATGCTGGGAGGTCGTGGCGAGGTCAGGGCGATTTTGCTGCTCGCCAGGCAGGCAGGCAGGCAGACGAGCACACGCTGTGCGGGAGGGGGAGGGCAACGCACCACGCTCGCTCGCTCGACTTCACGAGACGCCGCTCCGTGGCACGGCGAGTGCGCCAGCCCCGTGTTTACTTTCACAACCAACGCTGCGCCAAGACACACATGTGCACACATGCACTTTTTTTTTCTTTCCCTTTTCCTCCCGCGAATACTTATTGCAAAAAAAAAAAAATTTGCTTCCCCGAAAAGTGCACGCGGCCAAGCAAGACGGGGCCCACGTGCAGCGGTCGCGAGCCGCGCAATTAGGAGCCGAGAGCACGGGGGCCTACCCACTGCATGGGTAATTACCCTGTGCGTGGCCCTGGC